AACAAAGCATTGCTAGTGCTCTGTGTTGTCATTAGATAGGTTGTAGGCTTATTGGGTCCAAGCCCATTTATGTCAGTGGCTAAGTTGGACCTAATGGGTCACACACAAACACCTAATTGTCTAGATGCTCTAGCATTAAAGATATTGGGTCTAATAATAGTTATTAGCCCAAGAAGTTGTTTGGAACTTCACCTAAAGGGGTGGAGGGCGCATGGATCATTGTAATGGGCTTGGATAGTCCAAGACATTACTAATTAATTTAATTAGTTAAATTAATTATCAAACATTTAAATTTTGAATTTTGGAATTCGAAATTTGAATTTTGAATTTTTGAATTTTGAATTTGAATTTCGAAATTCGAATTTTGAATTTGAAATTTGAAATTTGAATTTTGAATTCGAATTTTGAAATTTGAATTTTGAAATTTGAAATTTGAACTTTTAATTTGAATTTTGAATTTTTGAACATTTGAATTTGAATGTTGGAATTCAAATATTTGAATTCGAATTTGAATTGCCTATGAAAGGTTGTTTCATAACAAAAGGATAAGATGAGATCTTGTTGGAACAAATCACTAGTATCATGAGAGAATCTTTTGGACATAATCCAAGGCTATATATGGCGCTGATTTGGGCTGTTGGTGAGCAAGATTTGCTCATCAAAATCAGCTCCAGAAGATTCAGTCAGTTGGGAGAAAATCTGAGTGAGTTGATTCAAATTTGAATGCAACTACTCAGATGTATCTGGTCACCTTTTTGGGCTATATGGGGCGCACCATATAGCTGATCTTATGAAGATTTCTGATCAGAATTTTGAATAGGTTTTGAACCAATTCTCAAGAGAATATTCCAGGAGCCAGTTAGCAATTTTTGAAATTAAACAGCTCCACTTCTCTCTCTCCAATCTGGCGCCTAATTATCAGATTTTTGGGAGAAAAATCTGATTGGTATTTTATTTTAAATACTCTCCTCTTATGCGCCTACGTGATTAGTTGTTCCTCCAAGGGTTTTTTCTGAAAAGCCTAGCCTATTCTCTCTTCTCTCCTGCGCCACTTGTGAAGCTTTCACATTGAGAGCTTCACTCTTTCAAACACTTTCACCTAGCCTCCATCTTCATACATAGAGCGCCTAGCAAGCCTCTTTGTGGTGATCATCCGGTGGCTTCACAAGAAGGAGTTCTTGCACCTAAACGAGTGGGTGGTGTGGATCAACGTTAGAGGGTCTGAACCCTTCAAACCTGCCTTGATCATCTGGTGATTTCACGAACAAGGTAACATCATGCTTTCCTAAAGCATGATCTTGATGTGCATGTATATTCCGCAAAGAAAAATTTTGTTTTTCCCTCTTGCATGCATCGGCCTTCAAGGCCATTTCGAACTTTCACAAGATCTCAATGGTATATTTATTTAGGACTTAGAAAAAATATGTAAAGGTGTATAGATTCTAGCATTGCATGAGCTCAAGTCATTCATATCATATAATGCCTAAAGAACCTTGATCTAACGAAGTTAAACATGCATTAAAAGGTTTTTGAAATGACTTAAGCACGTAAGCATAATGGCAGAATATAATCACACATATTCATGGCTCATATATTTTAAAAGAATGCATCCTTGAAGAAAAGTCGAGACAAATGGTTTTATATGTACAATGTTGGTTTGGAAGAAGTGCCTACATGATATAAACTTTTCTAGATAATTTTCATAACCAATAACATGCATTACAAGTCATAGAAACCATTTAGAAAAAGAAGAAACTAAGAATTCGTACAAAAGGGTGCTGCCATGAAATATTTGGATATTGCACAAAGAATATCCGGATATCAATATCCGGATATGGAACCAAAAATATCTGGATATCAATATCCGGATATGTGCCCGACGAATATCCGGATTTGTACGGTCTGCAACGGCTAGAAACGACTATAAACGACTAGTTTTCAAATGAGATGTCATTATAAATACCCACATCAACAGTAATGAACAGTGGACAACCATAGATCATTTATTGAACTTTTATTACTCATTCTAGCTCATTATTGCTCATTGATTACTTACTTTACTCATTGCATACACTTGAGCTCATCTTTCCTTTGAAGCTATACATCTCTTAGTTCTTCAATTTGTGCAATCTGTACTTTGATAGTACTTAGCTACTTTTAATCACCTCAATCTTACTTCTTGATTTGAGAGGGGAGTGAACCTTATACTTGAGTTGAGAGGTCACCAAATTCCTAAGAAAATTTGGAGTGAAAAATTGTGAGGCATCAAGAGTCCGAAGTCTTGAAAGGTTGTAGAGGTTTGTCAAGCACCCTCAAGCTTGATAGTTAGTGAAAAGAATTGATCGAGCGACTTCAGTCTGGATGTAGGTCACGGTGGTGGTGACCGAACCAGGATACATCTAGTTTGCAATCTCTCTAACCTTTACCTCTTTACTTAAGCATTGAAATTGCATTTTTAGATTGTCTTTATCCATTCGCTTGCTTACTTTGTTAATCTCTACACTTGCTCTCACACTCAGATTTTTTCTTATTAAATCACTTTATCGAAGAAATAGTCTTTAAAATATCAAAGGAGACACTTTGCGAAAAGATTTTGTAAAACTCAATTCACCCCTCTTGAGTATTGAAGCCACTTGTCCAACACTCTAAACTAGGGTTTCACGTCTTAACATAAAATATTTAAAACATAAATAATTTAAATATTAAAAATAAAAATAAATAACAAAAAAATAATAAATTCTCTAACCTTAGGTTTAAAGTTCTAACATAAATAATATTAAAATAAAATAATTATACATAAATAATCCTCTAAGTCCTATCATAAAATATTTAAAATTAAGAGAAATAACAAAATAATAATAAATCTTTTAACCTAAGGTTTAAATTCATCGTTTAGCAAAACAAAACAAAAAACCCTCAAATAAATAATATTAAAATAAAACAATTAAACATGAATAATCCTCTAACATAAGGTTTCAAGCAGTGTTTTAAAAATTGGCTCGGACTGGCCGGGTCTCGGTGACCCGGTGGGTTTCCTGGTTCGAGCAGTCCTTTGGATCGGTTACGCAATCGGCCCAGTTTGGACCTGTTGACTCGGCCAGGTCTCGGTGACCCGACGAATTAAATGGAACTCGGTTTGGACCGGTCAAATGCTCTTTTTTAAAAAAAATAAAATAAAAAAGAGTTATAAAAAAATGAATTGTGTTAGTTCAAGCTTCATGTTTTAAGTTTCAAGATGGCTTATTTTGTCAATTGTTTGGGTGCTTAATCCCTATTTCGACAACATGATAATGATAGTGTCAACCACTGCCCACTGGACAAAAAGCTGAGAATTTACTTACATACAAACCTTAGAAATGAATAAACAATGGTGGCATGTGAATACCATCTTGGACCTAAATGTAGACAGCTCAGTTGGGTTAGAAATTTTGAAAAGAGCATGTGAATCTTATATGAATTGAATGAGTTATCGCTATTGTGTATTTTAAATTTCATTGAAAAGAGAAAAATGAAGTTGAATGGAGTTGACTGTGAGAAGGTATTTAGTACATTGGAATTATCATGCTGGTCTTTAAGATATTTTATATCAAATGCTTAACTTCAATATCACAATGTAAGTTTGTTCATCATCTTGTGTACTATCTGATCCACCGAGTTATGACAAATGAAGAGGTTTGTTGCAAATATAACAAGAAGAATTATGCAAATATTTTAGATTGGTTATCTATTATTATTAAGATAGATATGTTTCCTATTTGTTTCCTTAGATTTAGCTTTATTTTAGGTAAATAATTATTGATATAAGTCTATATAATGTAAATAAATTCTATAAGTTGATCATCAGAAAATAATATTCAGAATATCTACCAAGTTCTTAAGTAGGTATGAGGTGGAACAAAGTACAGACATATAAAACATAGGGGTATCTTGCTGGTTTAAAAAAAAATAAGCACATTATTGATAGTTTTTTATGAATTTTTAATATAAGTAATATATTTATATTTTTTTAATATGTGAATAGTATATCCAGTTGAACCCGGTTGACTCGGTGACCTAGTACCCCGACCGAGTCAATGATCGATCTAAGTTTTAAAACACTGGTTTCAAGTCCTAACAAAATATATTTAAAACATAAATATTTAAAATATTTAAAATTTAAAGAACTAACCTAGTGAGAGATGGTTTTAAAAAAACCTTGCAGTAGAGAGATGAATTTTGAGAGAGAGAGATAGAGTGGGAGGGATATGAGAAGGGGGGGGGGTTTAAATAGCCAGTGTAACGGCTATTTTTTGTGAATCGTTTGAACTGGAAGTGCTATGACCCGCAACAGGTTTGGTGGGGGCTTGCCACATGTCCCACTTTTTGGTTTTTTTGTGAACCGTTTGAACTAAAGTGCTACTACTGACAACACGTTTGGTGAGAGCTTGCCACGTATTCTACTTTAAGTCAAAGCAAGCTGACACTTTAACCACTAAACATGCTATGACCCATAACAAGTCTGGCAGCCTTAAACATCTTAACATGTGGGCACACCAAACTATGACCCATAGCAAGTTTGGCAGCCTTAAACATCCTAACATGTGGGCACACCAAACGTGCCATGGGCTGTAGTGAGTTTAGCCACTTGGCACTCTAAAAAATGTTTTGAACGCGTGGCAGATAAAAAAATAATTTCTAAAAATATGGCAGTACAGTCATTGTCCCTCTTTCCTGCAGTACTTAATAAAGAAGCAACTGAGATTACAAGTATGAAGTTCATATTCATGGACTACTGTTAAAATTTTCCTCTGCATAATGCACAGACAAAATGAAAAATAGTTACTTTATTTTATTTTTATTCAATATTACTCGAATATTGAGTACTGATTTTCTAAAACAAAGGACGAAAACTGCACGCAACCGGCTACTGGGTTTTCATTTTTTTTTAAAGTTAGACGGTGCGAGAAATAATTCAGAGAGTAGTTCGTGGCATCCTTTCTAACAAATAATAACTCGTGCGGTTGACTATGTTTAAGCATAACTAGCATAATATATTCATCACCTTACAGGAGCTCATGAAAATGTTTAATCACTCATAACAGGAAATCTTTGGACCAGCTCTGATTCATGATGTCCGAAACTGATGTAATGGTCAGATGATGGTAAAATAATTCTGCTACACTACTTTCTACATAGGTAAACAACTATGATCTACCTTTTCCTGAAGAGAATATTTATCTTTTAAATTAAACACTAAGGAGAGGCAGCATTGCTTCAGTGAATGTTGATCAGGAGGAGACGGATTAGCACAAGGTTCCTACCCCTGAAGTGAGGCCGCATCAGGAAGTTCCCACTCACCGCAAATATCAATCTGCAGACACAATAGTTGATGTTTCTGACACTGTCTCATTGATTTATGCTAGGTTGCTTTGAGAATACTGGGGAAAGCAGCTTCTCCAACTCCAGTAAACTGAAACCAAATCAGTGTGAGCAAAACTGAACTACGATAAACTTCTAGTACCTAAAATGCCACACAAAGAAAATCTCCTTACTCACATCTCGTATTTGCGATAGGCTTCATTTCTTTTAGCCACGAACAAATCACTATCTTTGGGCAGATTGTTTGCAGAACTACCTGCAAAATTAACAGGAAAGACCATCACCTGTATTTATAAAGTAATAGCATTAACCTAATTCCCATAATATGTGTGTGATTCAAAACACAATTTTTAATTTTTTTTTTAAGGTCTGTGATAGAAACCTAGTACAGAGACAAAATATATTAATAAGAAAAACTAGGAGCACAGCTCCTTACAGCAGAATGAGATTCAGCAAATTCTTGGAATGCTAAAAAAAACTGAAAGGAACAGGACGAAGACAACACTTAATGGTGCCCAAGAACCTCACCTCCAGCCTTAGGATAGGCTTACCCCACTCCCTACCTTCCTTCTTTCCTACCATTACCTCGTCCCTCAAACCTCTCTTACATCACCCACCATCCTCTCATTCTGTTATTTTCCCATCGTCTCTCTCCTCCAACTCATCATTTCTCCCCTGCCCTATAACAAACTCCCCAATTCACAACACCTCTTGTAAAGAACCAATTCAACCCAAAAACTTAAGCTATTGGGTGAGGCTAGTTTTAGATATCTCAACACGTCCCTCACACGAGAGCCCACTGGGCTTGAAAGGTAGACAATGCACAGGCCCACCTACCTGTGCAAACAAAGAAATTCCACTTGAAAGAAAGTGGGGGGCGGCGAGGATTGAACCCGGGACACGAGGCTCTGATACCATGTAAAGAACCAATTCAACCCAAAAGCTTAAGCTATTGGATGAGGCTAGTTTATATATCTCAACACCTCTCTTGTCTCATAATCTCTTGTGGGAATTAGTCTCCCTTTCCTTCCTTCTTTTATACAATTGCCACTCCTTTGTACTTCTCTTTCAGTTATTGTTCTTATTCCTCCTAGTATAAACGTTGCTTACAGTTCTACCAATTTGACATTTACAGAATGAGAGATATGTTGTTGAAAATATGGAAGAATGACCCAAACTGAAATGGAAATAAAAAATTACAAGAACAAAGAAAATGTCTGAAGCTTGAACATCTCAAAAGTTTATTGCTTGAATACGTGATTCTTTTAGTTCCATAATCCACATGTTCTTTTGGTAAGTAGGAAATTAGAAGTAAATATAATTTATAAGAATTTCATAGAGTTTAGCATTTGATTACAACTCATGCAGTTGTGGTAGTACCCTAATAGAAATCATAATTGTTAATGCTTTTGATAACAACAATACTACATTCTTTCAAAGAGAGCCACTTCAGAAAGGAGCGGGGAAGAGTTAAGTAAAGAGATTTTCAGTCAAGAATCCATATCCCAACGAAAAATGCCTGTGTTCATAAAAGTTAAGGTGCGTTTGTTTCAACAATTCTTCAGTTATTCTTAGGAAAGCTAACTTGGGAATATGATATTTCATGCTTGGTACAAGTTTAAAAAAAAAATATTCTTAGGCATCATTTATTTCTAGGGAAGTGGCTTGATTATTGTTCCTAAGATGAGAGGTGGGGTATATTGTTTTCCTATAGCATGGCAGTGGAAGTTATCTTGCAATCCAACCATTAACGTCAATTCACACTTCTTTCTACCACATTTTTTTTCTGAATTTTGAAATGATTCCCGAAAATATTAAATGCTAACCAAACATGTTTTTAGCTTTTTGGAAATGTCATTCCTGGGAATATAATCAATTAATCATATATCTTGAAACAAACACCTCCTTAGGAATATGCTATTTGTTTCACTAGTCCAGACAACATAAAAGAACCACTTTTATCCAACATATTTGGAGATAGACTAAATCTAAAAGTATAACTAAGATCTTAGGAATAAGTAAACTCCACTAACCCACCCAAACTTCCCTTCACTGACAAAAGAAATAAACCCAAAACTAGAGAACTGCATCCCGCAACACTTCACAGACATACACAGAAGGCTGTAAAGGCTATAAGAGAGTGATAAAAGTTGAGAAATTGTAGCCATAGATACAGAATAGCTCAAAACACAATATATTGGAAACAATTTAATTGATTACACATGCACAATTTATAATTACATTTGTATTACTTTAAAAGCATTTCTAATAATTTGATTCCTTCCTCTTCCTCTTCCTCTCCCTCTACCTCTTCCTCTCCCTCTTCCTCTTCCTCTTCCCCTTCCCTTCCCTTTCCCATAAATAAGTTTCCAGTAATGTGCTCCCACATATAGGCTACTTCACAGAAATGTGCCAATTTTGGCTGAGTGAAAGTGAGATAAACATTCTTTTGTACACTACGAGCAAAAATTTAGAAGGTAAGATGGATAAACCATACATGGAAGTGGGGCTGGATGTTTCATCACCACATCTTTCTGAACCTTCAATGATGTGTCTTTGTCAGGTTGTTCTAAACTCTGCCCAGGAAAACAAGGAGTAATATATATATGATATAAAGTCAACAGAAATCTTACACACAGCATATGATATTCAAACTGTCATCAATGTCACACACACACACACACACACACACACACACACATATATATATATGACATTGGACCTAAGAGGGAATGCGAAATGGGGAGGTGGTAGTTTGAAACCCCACTGCATAACCACAGCCCTCTGTTAAAGAGGAGGGGAGATACCAGTTGAGCTACACTCCACCAATATATATGGGTAATTTTAATATTGATAGGCATGGGGAATAGAAAGTAACTAAACTATTTCAGTTATAGGAATGGGACAGATGAAGCTACCTACATAATATGTATATGACATGTCGAAACACCAAATGCCATAAAAGAGTGTCATGTTCATGGTGCCAATTCAATTGAAAAATCGCCCAACTCACCCCCTTCCCCAACATTGAAAAAAGAAATAAGAAAGATAAGAGCGAATTTAAACCTTCCTCTTTCCCCTTCTTTTCAATATCTTTAAATGGCATTTTTTGATGTAGTGCATCAAATGATAGCGTGAATGCCTTGAGCATAACTGTTCTTGGACCTTAGGGTTCTCTGTTAACCAGTCGGAAATCTCCTTGGACTTAACCACCTCATCCTTATCTAAAGTTTCTAACCACGAATAAACCGGTAACCATTGATCAGTGCGTTGAAACCTTGCATGTGGAAGATCAAGCTGATTAACATCCCTTTCCTGCAACATTTGAAATATTAAACAATATCAAGAGTAACAACTTAAAATGTTTGGGATATTTTGTTGAAAAACTATCTAATTTTATGTAAAGCCAGTAAAGGGAATCTTGGCAAGAAGCATGAGCTTGTGTGTATGTCAACCAAAATACACAAGACAGCCCACCTTCTTTCTTAAATGTAATAAAAAAAAGCACTAGGCACTGTTACCAGGAAACCATTATTGCAGAAATATATACTGCTTACCAGATAAACCAGTCATACAGAAATTAGAAAATGCCTTTTTATTTATTAAAAAATAAATAAAAGTCTACCTTTATCTTGAAATGATGTGACTATAAACAAACAAAAAAGTGAGTAGATCTCAAATTCAAAAAAACCCAAGAACATAGCCATAGAGATTGAGCATCTTCATCAAACTAAAAGTTGATACCCGCTTACTCTGACACAGTTAGAAGGGTACATAAATTTGAAATATTTTAACTGCTCTTGTTTAACCCACATGCTCATCATAGATCAACTATACACCCTTCCTCCTCTTCATTCAGCTAAAGCTTATGCACACAGACACCAGAGAGTTGTCTTCCCCAACCATAAATCATCTACTAAATCCTAGTGCACATTTCTTGGGATGCAAGGGAAAATCAAAATCAAAAACGATAAAAACAAAAAATCAAGACCTTCATCAGTATGGGACAGGCCACAAACTAGGATGCAAACATTTTTACAGCAGCACACAAAGTACTGATTGGGGAAGTTCTTAGTAGTATCACATTCCAGAGCAATTTTAGCAATACCTGAGTTTCTTCATTAGATTTTAATCTATTCTTGTGAGACTAAAAACCAGTTTTCTATAGCAAAACATAAGGCTTCATACGGTATTCTTCTCATTAATATCTCGAATTGATTGCTCCAAATCCCACTTCATAAGAAAAGCACGTGCGCCAAAATAAAACTTATGAAGAGAGAAAGAGAAAGAGGATGAAGTGAAGAGAGAAACAATAAAAACCTGATTGGTGAAGGGGAACCTCATGCAATTCTGAATGGAAATAAGTCTGAGGCAGAGATCGGGACGAGGCATGGATCGGAGACCTTCGGGGAGAGAATCGATGTTGGAGTCGATCCAGGCTTCGACCTCTGGCATGCTCACTTCCTTCGCCTCTGGGAACGAGCACAGCCACGCTCTAGCCATGGTTTCCCATTCTTGCGATTGCTCGCTCTGCTCATGCTCACGGTCTTGCACCGTTGCAATTGAATCCCCAGAGTTCGACATTTTTATGTGTCGTTTACGTGCGACTGTGGTGCATTTCCGGCTGAGCGAGAGGGTTTAAGTCTAAGAGATTATAAATTAAACGACAACGCTTGCTTTTGTTTCCCAGTATCACACTTCCCTCGTTGTTCGGGGAGTCCTCTCTCTGTGACAGTGGGTCGTATTCTCTCTCTACTTTTTTATTACTTTTTTTTTTTATTTGAATATGAAAATATGATATGTATTACTATTACTATAAAAATTTATTCAAAATTAACAAAGACCATAAAAAAATGTAATATGAGTAGTTTAACAGAATTAGCCTTTACATTTAATGGGGAATTATATCTTACTATATATGACGACATATTTGTTTTAGCTTTATGCAACGACAAAAAGACTTTAAATAAATGTAAATTAATAATTTTTTATAAATATACATATCGTAAAGCATTTCGCTATTGGGTCGAGAAATGTTTTATCAGAATATGCAATAATATATTTTATTCAAATCACAACATGTGCTCACGTGGAGTTAGAGTTAAGTCTATATTCCTCAATGGGTGTAATATCTATCTCGCTATATAGGCATTTAAGAAGGTAATGATATGAATCAAAGCTCTATGAAAGGCATCATTGTGTTATCTCAAGCATGACTGAGAAAGAGAGGAATGTATACAGGCACGATGGCTTTACAATTCGACAAGATAATAGCTCATGAAAATAATAAATACAAGATGTTTCTTCACGTATATAAAAGAAGTATATATAGGTGAGAATGATATTCCCTTATGATATGAGAGAGTTTGTCTAAGTGTTTTATCCTCTTGCCACATTGGGTCATGTGAGGAATTGTTTCATTATCATATAAGGTAGGAGAGGCAAGGTGTGGCCCTTTAATGAGTCTTTGCAGGCCAGCCAAAATACATTGGCGTGGTCCAGATCCCAACTTAAATATGAGATTTTTATTATTGTTCATTTAAATTTGATATTCAGGTTATGAATGATCAACTTATAAAAGAAAAATGTTGTATCCAAATTTAAAATAATCAATCTTATGGCTTAATATTTTTTTTATTACAATGTGAGTATAAAGTTTAATACATATTCAATCATTCAAAATGAAAATTACATGTTAATTAAAATTGTCCAAGATTAAAGGTCTAACATGATAAATAAATAAATAACATAAAACACAAAGCCTCGCTGTTTGAACAAAAGTTCTAGGGTTTTGAAGAGAAACTTGTGCTTGCGCAGTTGCGCTTTCCCACTGGGCGTGTTTTCTTTGATCGAGGGTTAAAGCCAGCAACAACGCTTCATCTTCCCACGCTTATTGTGGGTTCAAGAAAATCGCATGTCGTCAGTTATTGGTCATGCTCGATCGTTGGAAGAGGAAGACAATCTTAGAAGGAGCACAAAGAAAAGTAAAGGGGGAGATAGTGAATTTATGAGCAATCGATGAAGCGAAGGGAAGAAGAATGGATGACTGAAAATATGTCCTTCAAAGAAATTCTAATGCGGCACAACGGGGAATGGAAAGATGATCTTGAGCAGGTGGTCGATGAGGGCAAGGAAGTTCAACCAAAATCTCCAACTGAAGAAAGCAAGGGGAATGTACCCGAGGTTATAAGTCAGGAAAATGCAGATGGTCGTATGAATTTCATCTTGTCCGATGAGTTCAAAAGAAAGGCATAGAGTCCTTGGAAACAAGCAATCTTCGTAAAGCTAATGGGTAAGAAAGTTTCTGTTACCTTTATGAAAAATAGATTAGAAAACCTGTGGGCAAGAGAGGGGAGAATTATGGTGGCTGATTTGGAAAATGATTATTTTTTGGTACGGTTTGAAAAAAAAAGATATGGACTTTGCTTTAACAGCAGGGCCATGGATATTTTTTGATCACTATCTTGTGATCAGGTCTTGGGAACCATATTTTCAACCCTATCAGGCATCTATCAATCGAATAATGGCTTGGGTTCGGCTCCCTGAATTTCCTATGGAATTCGTGAATACTGGGTTAGTTCAGAGTATTGGTAATTGGTTAGGTAAATATATAAGGATGGATGCAGCTATCACTTCTCTGGCTAGAGGGAGATTTGCGAGAATGTGTGTAGAGTTGGACCTAACAAAACCTCTCCAAGCAGAGTATAAAGTGGAATGAAGGACTAAGAAGATTGAGTATGAAGGGCTTCATCTCATTTACTATGGATAGGTAAATATGATCATAGATTGGAAACCTGCCCAACAAAAGTTTCACAGGAGGCTAATCAAGATAGTCAGAGTCGAGAAGTGGTGTCTAACAGTCAAGATATTTGTGACAAGGGGGAAGAAGAGATAGCATAGGGTAATTCTAAATTTGGCCCTTGGATGCAGGTGTCGAGGAATAGAAGAAATAAAGGTTCTCAGAGTAATAGAGTTGACTCACATAAAGGAAAGGAGGATCAAATGAAGAAGAAAAATTGTACTAATTTTGATGTTCTAAGGAAGGATACATCTCAGAATGAAGAGAATGACAAGTCAAAAGCTATGGTTTTATATCAAGATGATTCCCAGAGGTCCCTTCAATCCAAAAATAGGAAGAATGCATCTAATCCTGTGGAGCTGGTGGAAACAAAATCTAAATTCATTTTGGTGGAAGATGAAAAGAAGGAGTATGAGAGCAAGTCAAAAGCTGGAAAAAGCAATGGTGAAAACAAAAATAGGGGTTCTGGTTCTGCTATTTCAGTGGGTAATAAAGCACCACTTGAAATTAGAGATTCTGAAGTAGAAAATCATTCTGGAATAGTAAGTCCAACAGTAGCTGAATATGCTAAGAGGAATGAAGATCAGATCAAGCATCATACCCATTGTATGGAAGTAGATGACGATGAACAGAATAAACATCATAGGAATCTGGACCCAAAACCTCCAGATTGGATGGGAGTGGTTAGAAATCATGTTGAGACTGATTGTGCTAATATGGAGTACGAAGATGCAAAGAAGAATGGTTTGCTGGATGATAAGAATAAGCTGGGTTCTCTAACCCCTGCAAAAAGCTTACTCAGTTATCAATGAATGTCCTAATATGGAATACTCGAGGGGCTGCCAAGAAAGATTTTGGTAGTACTCTTAAGTCCATGGTCAGGAAAGATTCTGCTGATATTGTTGTTCTTCTTGAAACCAGAACTCAAAGCGAGGTGTGCAAAAAATTAACGAAGAAGTTGGGATTTGATAGCCTTTTAGTTCAAGAAGCTCAGGATTTTGCAGGGGGTATTTGGTTAATGTGTCATAGTTCAAAGGTGGATATAGCTCTTCTATCCAAGTCAGTTCAATTTATTCATTGTAGAGTCTCTCTGCCTACAGGTAATTCATTTGGTTTCACTGCTATTTATGCTAGTCCTTCTCAAAATGTTAGAAATAATCTTTAGGAAGATCTTAGAAAACTTAGTGAAACTATGAATAGACAGTGGCTGTTGGGTGGTGATTTTAATGAAATAGCTTACACACATGAGAAGATAGGGGGTGTTCCAGCTGACCCAACCAAGTGTGATAATTTTTCTTCTGTGCTTGAAGACTGTCAGGTGACAAATTTGGGCTGTGATGGTCTTCTATTCACCTGGCAAGGTCTTAAATGGACCAATTTGAGAAGAATTTTTAAACGGCTTGACAGAGTTGTAGCGAATTTGGAATGGAGAATGATGTTTGATGATGCTATAGTGTCATCCCTTCCTCGGACATTATCTGATCACAATTATCTATTAATAAAGTTATTCGAAAATTCAGATGAGAAAGGTAAGAAGCCTTTTAGATTTTTTGCAGCCTGGCAGGATCATCAAGCGTTTAATAGCTTTATCCGGGCCAAGTGGGACTCTGATTTTGATTTTCCATATATGTTACAAATATTGGTGCTTGAACTTAGAATATGGAATAAGAAAGTTTTGGGAGATATTCATAGAAAGAAAATAGTATTACCCAAAAAATTGCCAACATCCAGAACAACCGTCCTCAAAATGATTCTCAAGCTCTAACGAATTTGGAGAATGCTTATTAATGTTCTTCGTGAAGAGGAACTTTTTTGGTTTCAAAAATCCAGGCAGAAATGGATTGCGGATGGAGATAAAAATACTCGTTTCTATCATCTCAGTACAATTGTCAGAAGGAATTCGAATAAAATCTTCAAGCTTAAAAATGATGGTGAGGCTTGGATTTCAGATCCTGATGAACTCAAAAAAATGGCTTGCAATTTCTTCAAAACTCTTTTCACTGAAGACAAATGTAACAGAAAGTGGATTTCTTCAGGAAACCTTTGGCCTGATCTTCTAGAGCCGGAAAAGGATTCTTTAAGCAAAGTCCCGGATGAGATGGAAATTAAACAAATAACTTTCAGCATGGGAGCATTCAAGGCACCAGGTATTGATGGTTTTCCTGCGTTTTTCTTTCAGAAGAATTGGAATTTAATTAAATCTCAGGTATGTTCCTTAGTTAATCAGATTTGGAATTATCCTGAAGTTCTAGCATCAATAAATTCTACTATGCTGGTATTAATTCCTAAAGTCCAGAATCCGATGAATATCAAGCAATTTAGGCCAATTTCGTTATGCCCGGTTATTTATAAAATTATCAGCAAGCTTATTGTGAGTCGTCTGAAACTAATTATATGGAAAGTAATTTCTCCTGCTCAATCTAGTTTTGTGCCTCAGCGCCATACTCAAGATAATATCATTATTGTGCAAGAACTGGTTCATTCTATGAGGAGAATGCGGGGTAAGAAGTGTTTTTGGTGATAAAGGTAGATCTTGAGAAAGCTTATGATCGTTTGGAAGTTCATTCATAGAGTGCTTGATGAAACTCATATTCCTAATAAACTTTTAAAACTGATCATGGCAGCTGTCACATCTCCAAAAACCAACATTATTTGGAATGGAAAGTTAACGGAGGAATTCCAACCAAGCAGAGGTGTCAGACAAGGAGACCCAATCTCTCCTTACTTGTTAGTCTTGGCAATGGAGAAGCTTTCTCATATCATTGATACAGCAGTGAATGGGAATCATTGGAAGCCAATAAGAGCTGGTAAGGGTGGACCCAAAATATCTCACCTCCTATTTGCGGATGATTTGATGCTTTTTCTAGAAGCCAGTGAAGATCAGCTTAATATCCTTTTCAGATGTTTGAATTTGTTTGGAGATATTTCTGGGTAAAA